CCCACCTGTGCCAGGTGTGGTCTGGAGGAAGGGAGAACCTCAATCTTCTTTCTTTTTTTTTAAATTTATTTTATCGATGTGTATAGTTGATTTACAATGTTGCATAGTTTCTGGTGTACAGCAAAGTGATTCAGTTATACACACACACACACACACACACACACACACACACACACACGCACACACACACACGCACACACACGCACACACACACATATTTTGTCACATTCTTTTCCATTATGGTTTATCACAATATATTGAATATAGTTCCCTGCGTTATGTAGTAGGACCTCATTGTTTAGCCATTCCATATTATATATTATAGTTTGCATCTGCTAATCCCAGACAAGAACCTCAATTTTGGAGCAAGCTCCCAGGTTACATTATTTTGGGCCTGAATATTTCAATTTGCTGAATTGATAATGGAGTGACTTCCAGGGACGACATGACTTTTTATGACCTAAAAGGGACCAAGGACTTGCTCCATCTAAAGATGGGGGAGGGGAACAGTCCCACAGTGCGGGTTTGGGGTCCGGGCCTCAACCTTGATCGCACACTGGAATCAATTACGGGATGAAAAGAAAACACTGATGCTGGCTCCCAGCTCCAGACTCAGATGGGAGTGTCTGGGGCAGGACCTGGGCAGCAAGACCCTTAAAAGCTCCCAGGTGATTGTAGTGGCAGCAACATTTGGGAACTACTGGGTTTAAACTAGTCACTGTAAGGACAATGCAAGACAAAAATAAGAGCGAGCTCTTATGTCATAGGCATGCTTGTTCTACAGGGAGGTACAACCTAGAAACATGGAAACGGGGCTCCTTGTCCCTCTAGTTCATTCCATGCGCTGGCCCAGCACACAGTAGGTCTCTTAAATGTTCATTCCCTTCCCGAGGTCTCAGGGTCTCTGAATTTCACACATGATGCTGGGTTTCCGCCCGAGCAAGAGCTCCAAGGGTCCCAGGTGGAAGCCGCAGGCTTCTTACAAACCAATCTCACAATGTCACTCACACTGCATTGTCTCGGTCAGAAAAATCACTAAGGCCAGCTCACATTAAGGGGAGGGGAATCAGATCTTAAACTCCCTCACGGGGGGCCAACATGTACCTCCAGGAGGTAGGGAAGGAACAGACGGGGCCGTCTTTGGAGACAGGCTACCCCACCGACAACAAAGGGATCTGAGGATCAGTCTTCAACATCTGCGATTCTCCCCTCCCCTCCAGCTCCTAGGGGGTCTGGGTAGCCTTGCCCTCCTGGCCATCTCTGGCCATAGGGAAATGCATGCCCCTGTTTACTATTCAACCCTCCAGAATCCCCAGGGACTCAGGGACTGTGTAGAGTGGGGCTGGGGTCTTTCCAGGGTGGGGGAAAGAGAGGCTGAGTGCCTCCAGGGCTCAGGGTCGAGCTGAGTCTTTACATCCTCAGCGACCACAGCCTCTTCTAAGCCCAAACCCACAGCCCGGTGTACCCGCACCAGGGAGGGCACATCTGCATAAGAGGATTTGTTGGATAACTGATGTCCACTCTGTACATCCAAGAAGAGTGTCTTTTTTTTTTTTTTTTTTTTTTTTGCGGTACGCGGGCCTCTCACTGTTGTGGCCTCTCCCGTTGCGGAGCACAGGCTCCGGACGCGCAGGCTCAGCGGCCATGGCTCACGGGCCCAGCCGCTCCGCGGCATGTGGGGTCTTCCCGGACCGGGGCACGAACCCGCGTCCCCTGCATCGGCAGGCGGACTCTCAACCACTGCGCCACCAGGGGAGCCCAAGAGTGTCTTTCTGAGGCTTAGTTTTTGAGCGGGAAATCCCTCTAAGATGGCAAATGCCCTCCAGGTCTCTAAGCCGTGAGGAGGTCATATTTCACAGCTTGGAGTTTGGAGCCACAAGAATATGGTTTCTTTTACTCCATCAGTGAAGCAAACAGGTGTGCACTTCCGACTCCATCCATCCCTGCAGCTGTGGCCTCTACGGGCGGCTGGGGTTTTCCCAGGGCACTGCTTCAATGATAAGCTCTTCCTGCTCAGTCACCTACAGTGGCTCCCACTGTCTACTGATTAAATGTGAACTTCTCATCCTGGGCAGTCAGCACCTTCTACAACCTGGCCCTGGCCTCTGTCTCCCAGTTCTACTGTGCTCCCTACCCTCCAGTTTCCTGAAGGATTCTGTGAATATATTCTGGGCTTTCCTACCTCCATGCCTCTCTGATTATTTTTTATTTTTTTGGCCAGTCCGCGTGGCTTTCGGGATCTTAGCTCTCCAACCGGGAATTGAACCCGGGGCCATGGCAGTGAAAGCGCCAAGTCCCAACCACTGGACCGCCAGGGAAGTTCCATACCTCTCTGCTTAGAATGCCCTTATTCCCAGGCCCGCCAGGGGAAATCTGCCTCTAGTTCCCATCCATCAGAACTCCCAGCCTCGAGTACCGATGAACAGGTGTTTGGCGCAGGGGCATGTGACACCTCAAACTCACTATCTTTTCCAGTTAATGGCTTTTCCTGCACATACATCTTGTCTTACCCTCATCCAATCATCGAACAGATGCTTGTGGAGGGCCTATTTTATACCAGGCATTTTGGTCGCCCTTTCAAGGAATGGCCTGGTCCATCATTTCTCCACTACTCTCCAAGCATCCAGAAAGAAAATCTACATCCCATTCAACTTTGTCCCCCAGCATCCCTGTCCCAGTGCCTGACACAGAGCTTGGCACAAGGCAGGCACTCAACGTTAGCTGAGCAAGTGGACGGAGGCCTTCACATGTCTCTATCAAACTGCCCTCTGCTGACGTGTGGGGATATTGACTTGGTCACGTGCAGCAGTCACTGTACACCCACAGCATATCCTGCGCACTCACCGTGCCAAGCACTGCTAAGTGCTACAGACGAAGTAAGAGTTCCCACCCTCGTGGGGATAAGAGGGACAGAGAAACACCAGAATGAAATCCATTCAATCACAACGCACCACGAGGAGAGCACTTCCTGGGGGGAGGAGGAGAGATGAGTCATCTTTAAATATGTCCTTCCTGTCCCTTATTTTGTGTCTTTCTCAGGGGGAAGCGATAAGGTGGAAACCCAGCAGCTTTGCAGATCCTCAGACCCAGATTTGAAACCCATTTTCCTCCTTGCTAATGGTGTGTCCTGGGCAAATCGTTTCATTTCGCTGAAGTTTGGTATCCTGATCTGTAATATGGGGATAACAGTGCCAATGTCACAGACGTGTAAGGATTTACTGTAATCAGGTGTGTAAGAGCCCGCGTCTGGCACATAGCAGATGCTCAGCAAAACGTCAGCATCTCTCCCCGTTTGGTGATGCTTCACGTTTCTGTCCCTGCAGCTAACCCAGGACTGAGTGTGTAATCAATGCCCAAACATCTGTCCACAGTAATAAACTGACCACATTAAACTTGAATTGTAAAAAAAAAAAAAAAAAAAAAAACCAGAACTCCACCTCTGCGCAGGCTCTGCCTATATAGATATGCTGAAAAGCCCTATGTTTATTTTGTCAAGTTACCATAGCAACTCCTGATGCTCCAGCCAGCCCCAGGATTAGCAGTTATCAATTTATCTTGTAACCATGGAAATGTCAGCTGTTTGGTGGGATCCAGAGCTGGGAGGCAGAGGTAGATATCGTGTGAGCTCTTCTCCCCTCTAGAAATAAATCCGGTGAAGCCTCCTCCGTCCACGCAGTTAACAGTCAGCACTATCTAAAATGATGTCCATATGACAATATTTATAAACATGGGTTTAGGAACAGGAGACAGAAAATTAGGCAAAAAAAAAGACCAGCATGGCTCATGGGAGCAATTAGCATGATGGAAAACCTGTTAAGAGACTGCCAAGAGCTGGAATCTGGGTTCCCTTGAGCCAACCTGGGGATTCTGCACCCATTCGTGCTTGCGTTGGGAGCTCGCTGTCCCTACTGCCTAGATTTTGCTGTTACTTTTTAAACAGATTTCCACCATGGTGAAGTTTGGGGGAAAAGGAAAGTGTGCCCTGAAACTCCATTCCCTGGAAAAGTAAACAGCAACCAGTGGAGCCCCTGCCACATGCCCAAGGGACAGAGGGAACCTGGGGGGCCTTCCTACCCCTGGGCTCCCAACATAACCAACTCGATAGAAGGTGCAAGGTCTGAATTTGGTACTTGGGGATTTACTCTCCTAGCCCAAATGCGGTGGCCCTTCCCTGGAGCCAGACTGTAACTCCAAAAGGCCACAGACAGCTCCAGCTCCGGAAAGCAGGCGTTTGTTTGCCTTTGTTCTGGCTCCAGAGTTAAGGCACCAAACATAAAGATCGCTCCACGCTCAGAGCTTCCGGGGATTCCCCTGGAGAAAAAAATCCCAGCGATGAGAGGTCATCTGTTTTGTCTGCCACTGGGAAACTGTTTTGTGTCGAGAGAAGAGTTATGGTCGCGCCGGGCACTGATGGCTACAGACTCAGCACAAAGCAGAAAAAGGAGAAAACGAATGCTGTGCTCTGGCGCTTGGCTGGTCACAGAGCCGGTCTCGCCGCCTTCCTCGGGCTACAGAGTCTGTGGTCTCCACCAAACGGGAGAAAATTGAGGTGGGAGGCGTCCGAGGTCAGCAGCAAGTGACAGATTACCCGGCGCCTCGAGAAGATACAGAATGGGGAAGAGCGAGGTTGCCTGCCCACCCGGGTACGCACGGATCTGGGCTGCCCCGCCTTGGAGAGCTGCGAGGCAACGGAGGGAGGACAGCAGGTGGGGGATGGGCAGGGAGGGGACCCCTGCCGAGGCCCCTCGCACAGGTCGATCCGGGGAACACTGGGCGCACAGCCTGCCCCGCCCCCGGGAGTCATGCTCGCGGCCCCAGACGCGCGCACCCAGTGGGGATGCCAGCTCCGGACAAAGGACCCGCGCTCGGATCGCCGGCGGGCGCCACCGCCCGGCCTGAACCCTCCCGGTGCGCTCAGCCCCGGCGGGGAGGGCGAGACCGTGGCCCCGAACCTGCCCAAACTTGGCGGCCCGGGGCGCGCGTGGAAGGAGCCCCATTACCTGTGCGGCCATAAAAGACAGATCCATGGTGTCGCTGCTGCCGCCGGCGCTCGAGTTCTCCCTGCTGCTGCTGCTGCTGGTCCAGCCGCCCGCACAGCTGGCCGGGAGAAGGCCACGCAGCGCGCAGGCCTCCCCGAAACCCCACGGCGGCGACGCCGACCTCGGCAACCGGGTGGGGGCGGCAGGTCCCGAGCCCGCGCGGCGCCTTCAGCTCCCTCTGCGCTCACTGGGTGGAGGGCTTGGAGCCTGGGGGCGGGGCGGGGCGGGGCGGGGCTCGGGGGTAGGGAGGGGGCAAGGCGCCCCTTCACGTGACCACTCCCTGCCCCACCCCCGAGGGCGGGGCTCGGTGGAACCCCTGACGGCTCACAGTCGCTTCCCTCCGCGTGCTGGAGGGAGGAGCAGAAGCACGAGGTCGCTTATCTAGTCGGTGCAAGAAGCAGCCCAGAACCCAAGTCCAGTGCTGTTGGCGTCCTGCCCCGTGCTGTTGAGCCCAGTTCCCTAGGGGGCCAGCGGTGCTTTCGTGGGGCTGGCTTGCCAGGGTCAGGGTTAACAGGCTTTTTGTACCGACACTGCGCCCAGAGTCCGGTGTCCTCGGGGCTCTCGAACTGGGCAGAAGAAGGTTTAAATCCTAGCTCTGCTCTTGCGGCTTGGGCAAGGTAGTGGCTCTCTGAGCCTGGGTTTTGTCATCTGTAAAATGAAGAAGACAGAACCAGAGAATTTAATGAGATCATGAATCTGGTACACAGTGTCTTCAATAAGTGAGAGCTCTAACATGGCTAATAACATAACAGAGACTAAACTGTGAATGGTGCCTTCTAGAATTGCACAGTGCACAACTTGCACAACTGGTACCTTACGGCCCTGTTTTAATCTTTCCCTACCTCCAACAAGTATCCCAAACGTGCGGCTGCAATAGCTAAAATGAGGACAATGGCAGAGATGCCGGAAGGAGCCTATTCCCATGTGTGCATGTGTGTGTGTGACACCCCAGACCTGGTGACTGGCCCACAGGAGAGCAGGTGGGAGCTTTGTCCATCTTGAAGGGCTCACTGGTAGGGACTGGGTTGTGCGTTACCTGTGCAGCCATAAAGGACAGATCCATGTATGTCCCTACTGCTGCCTGTGCTCGAAACCTCGCTGCCGCTGCTCGCCCAGCAGCCCGCACAGCTGACGGGGAGAAGGCCATGCAGCGAGCAGGCGTCCCCGAACCCCACTGTGGTGGCAGCACTGACCTCAGCAAATGGGACCAGTGCCTTACTGACAATGTTTGTGTCCCCTCAAAATTCATATGTTGAAACCAGCCTGACAGTATTTGGAGGTGGGACCTTGGAGAAGTAATTAGGTCACTAGGTCATGAGGGTGGAGCTCTGGTAAGGGGATTACTGCCCTTTTAAGAAGAGACGCCAGAGCAGACGCTCATTTTAATTGAGTCAAAGTTCGTTAGTATTTAACTATACACTTAGCCCTTGTTGAAGAAATCCTTTCTCAACTGGAGACCATGGAGATAGTCTCCTGTAGTTTTTAATTTTTGTTTTATTTTTTCACATTTCAGCCCTTTTCTTACTGATTATTTTTTTGATACGGGCTAAGGAAGAAATTTCATCTTTTCCATATTAATAATCCATTATCCCATCCCTTTTATTGACCAGTCCAGCCCTTTTTGTTTGGTGTTGATTAGCAGCACCAAATTTGTCAAGTTTCAATCTAGGTGTGGGCCTGTTGATGGGTTGTCTATTCTAGTCCACTGATTGTTCCTCTGTTTCTGCAGTAATGCCATTCTGACTTAGCTACCATGGTGGTTAATTTTATCTGTCAAGTTGACTGGGCCACAGGATGCCCAGATAGCTGGTTAAACATTATTCTGTATCAAACTGGGGAGAAATTACATCTTTACTATGTTGAGTCTTCCAATCCAGTATGTTCAGAGACATACTGAAGAAAATATGTTCCTCCATTTATTTAGATCTTTTTCGATTTTTTTTTTTTTTTTAATCAGTGTTGTGTAGTTTACAGCATACAAGGCCTGGACATGTTTGTTAAATGCTCACCTAAACATTTCTTTCTTTTCTTTTCCTTTTTTTTAGTGACTATAAATTTTTAGGTATTACACTTTAATTTTGATGTCCATGTGTTCATTACTAGTATATAAAAATATCATTGATTTTGTATGTTTGTCTTGCATTCTATGACCTAGAACTTATTAGTTCTTGGAATTTTTTGGTAGATTCCTCGGGATTTTCTATGTGGGAAATCATGTCATCTGCAAAGAGGGACCATTTTATTTATTCCTTTCTGATCTGGTTTTTCATTACATCCTCGCTTTGCAGTGACCAGACGTCTAGGTTCAGTAAGAGCGCTGAGAGCAGGCATGCATATTTTCATGTTCCCACATGGACCCTGGGAGGCAGGGAGGGCAATGATGAAGGTGGGGAGAGCAGCACGAGGTGGTATCAGCTGAACAGCAGGGCTCACAGTCCGGCACCCTCACTGCTTCATGATGACGGTGTTCTCGGATCGGGTGGCTCTTCTCTGCAGAAGAGCAGAGAAGAAGAAGATGCTCTGCAGACAAGGTTTGTGCAGTTACCAGCCTGTAGACCTGGCCTTCCGCAGGGGAATCCAGACCTCTCCCAGAACTCGGCTCGGAAGAAAAAGAGAGACGAGACCGATGCAAACTGTCTGATGGCTTGTTTTGTTTTTATGTTTTAAACCCAAACGTCCCCAAGCGACACCTTGTAGTCAAAACCTATCTAATGCTGTGTGTCCTTGGATGAGTCTCTTCTGCTCTCTGAGCCCCAGTTCCCTCATCTCTAAATAAAGGGGACCCAGCCAATCTTTTTTTTTTCCTTTGGCTGTGTTGAGTCTTCGTTGCTGCATGCAGGCTTTCTCTAGTTGTGGTGAGTGGGGGCCACTTTTTGTTGCGGTGTGCAGGCTTCACATTACAGTGGCTTCTCTTGTTGTGGAGCACCGGCTGTAGGCGCGAGGGCTTCAGTAGTTGTAGCACACAAGCTCAGTAGTTGTGGCTCACAGGCTCAGTAGTTGTGGCGCATGGGCTTAGTTGCTCTGCAGCATGTGGGATCTTCCCGGACCAGAGATCACACCCACGTCCCCTGCATTGGCAGGTGGATTCTTAACCACTTCACCACCAGGGAAATCCCGACCCGCCAATCTTGAGTCCATTTTTTTTTTATAAGTATGTGACTTTATTTATTTTGACTGCGCTGGGTCTTAGTTGCGGCACACGGGATCTTCGTTGCTGCATTGCCGCGTGCGAGATCTTCATTGCAGTGTGTGGAACCTTTAGCTGCGGCACGTGAGCTCTTAGTTTTGGCATTCAGGATCTAGTTCCCTGACCAGGGATCGAACCCGGGCCCCTTCATTGGGAGCAGAGTCTTAACTGCTGGACCACCAGGGAAGTCCCCTGAGTCCATTTTTTAACACCCACCATGTCCTGCAGGTGGACAGAACTATTTAGTCATCACGTCCTGAAGAAAGAAAACATTCTTACATTACCACACTCAGCGTGACAAGGACCAGAGGACTGGTTGTCAGCTAAAGACTGAACTGAGGTATTTTTAAGTCACTCTATGGATGCATAATTTACATAAATGTACCCATTTTACATATACAGGTTGATGAGTCTTGATACACATGGACACCTGTGTAACCAAAACTATAATCAAGGTATAGAACACTCCACTCACCCATAAAAGTTCTCTTTTATCACTTTGCAGTCAACCCCCATAACCCAGCCTCAGGCAAACAATGATCACGTTTCCGTGACTACAGATTACATTCGTGTTTTCTAGATTTTTCTATAGATGGAATCATACAGATTGTACTTTTTTCTTTGTCCAGCTTCCTTCAGCATGATAGTTTTGAGAATCATCCATATTGTTGCATGTGTCTGTAGTTCCATTTTTATTGCTGAAAAGCATTGATGTCTGGACGTACCCCAGTTTGTGTATCCATTCTCCAGCTGATGGGCACTCGGCTGTTTCTAAGTTTTGGGCTGTTATGGATAAAGCGCCTGTGAACATTTGTGTACAAGTCTCTGTATAGACGTTTTGTTTTCATTTTCTTGGGTAAAAACCTAAGAGTGGAACTGCTTAGTTGTCTGTTTATAATAAACTGCAGACTGTTTTATAAAGTGTTTGCACATTTTACATTTCCAACAGCAGTGTTTGAGAATTCCAGTTGCTTCATATTCTCACCAATCCTTGGTAGTTTCATCGGTTTTAATTTAAGCCGTTCAAGCGGCTATAAAGTGGTACTTTTTTACGGTTTAAACTTGCACTTCCCCGATGAATGTTGATGCTGAACCTCTCTTTTACTTGCTCATTACTGGCCATTGGTATATTTTCTTTTGTGAAGGGCCTATTCCAATCTTTCTCCATTTAAAGAGAATTGGATCAATTGTCTTTTTATTACTGAGTCGTAAGAGTTCCTTGTGTGTTTGGGGTACAAGTCCTATGTCAGATATAGGTAGTGCACCTATTTTCTCTCAGTCTGTGGTTTGTTAAATTTTCTTAATGATGTTTTTCAAAGCAAAGTTCCTAGTTTTGATAAAATCTACTTGATCTTTCTTTTCTTTTATGGTTCTTGCTTTTTGTGTCCTATTTAAGAGATCTTTGCCCATCTCAAGGTCATGAAGATTTTCTCTGTTTTTCTTTCCCCCAAAGTTTTATAGTTATAGCTTCTGTGTTTAGGTCTGTGATCTATTTTTGTTTTTATATATGATGTGAAATAAAGGTTGAGCTTCTTTTTTTTTCTTTCCCAAATGAATTTTCAATTGTGCCAGCACCACTGACTCTCCCTTCTCCATTGAATTACCCCAGACCAGGACTAGATTTAAGAAGACACAAAATTTAAGATGGCATGTTCTCTCAGGTGCCAGCTTTGCACTTGTGTCACCTTGAGAGTGCCTCCTTAAATTTTAATTCCTAGGCACCTTGCTGGCCTCACCCACTGACTAAGTACTTCACAGGCAGATCTGCATGTTAGAAATATCACTCTATAGCTCTCCCTGGGCGACCGCATCCAGGCATGTAATGATCCAGTGGGGACACCCAGACTTCTTTCCTGAGCTCCAGACAGGCCTGTCCAACTGTCTATTCAGCAACTTCTCCTGGGTGGCTAATGGCATCTCGAATTTAACCTAGCCAGCGCTGAGCTATGATTTCCACCCTGCTGCATCACAAGCAGGTAGTGACTCTACCCAGGTCCTGCATGTACAGTTCTGC